GCAAACGTGTTAATCCTGAGAGCCTGACTGCTGAGAAGCAGAGATGAGGTCATGTTGTGTTTGCTTTGATCAAGGAACAGAATATTGCTTTTTGGCATTGAGTCAAGAAGCCTTAAATTTAAACATCCGTTTGTTTGCTTTTCTCAGTGAAATAACACAGGAACAATGTAAAGGTGACTGAACTAAATATATGTATCTTGACGCTGTTGACTCTGGGGATCTTGGATACTGCTATAGAAAAGGGAAAGGCGGGCAGTAATGCCATGGTGGTGCAGGAATTTCCGATTATTTGATTGTTATCCCTGTTTTTGCAGAGTAAGATAACCATAAATAGTACAACTGCACCGAGAAAATTGAGAGAGTCAAGACAATGTAGATTGAGAGAGTCAAGACAATGTAGACGGAAAAGGAGATACTTATCTAACCCAGTCTTCCTTTCACCTCTCAGGGTCTTCCTGTCCCAGGCAGAATAGAAGAATAAAAATTGGGACAAACAATGACCTGTTGTATAATGAGAGTTCATTGTTCCAGACACAAGTAGGAATATTCACAGTCCAGTCTACATTCTAGTATTGAATTAGCTATGTGGAGTTTTATTTAAAGGGCATTAAGGGCAATAGTAGATGAAATACTAAAAACTCCCTTTAAAGTGAGTTGTGTCTAGGGAAATACCATCTTTGGTACTGCCTTGGGAAAGTGCCTCTCCGCCCATGTTGAACCAAATACAATTTCATGGATTATCTCATTTCATTTTTGTAAACTTTTGGTGTGGTATTATCATTATTATCATTATCACATTTCATAATGTGATTTCATAAATGGCTGACAAAAACTACATAGCTGGAGAATTTAAGAGGTTTTAAATTCGACTAAAAGTAGTGCCATGACAGTATGATAAGGTAAGTGGGGATACCAATCCCTGCCGTGATTTTGGCTTTCTGATCTATGTGATAGAGTCTTCCATGCTATGAGAGATGCAGGCCTCTTTAGTCACTTGCTGTCTGAGATTCTCTGCTCGCCCAGCCATTTTCTCTGGTGAACATTCAGGTAATTCTTGCTTCGAGCTGTTACGAATAGTACTCCAATGACCCCCCTTGTGCATCTTTGTACACACTTGTAGGTCTTTCTGTGAGTATTTTGATATAACATTAGCTCAGTGTTGGTTTATGTTTTCAGATCATTTGTGTGTATGTGTAAGGGAGGGGAGAGGGCGGGAGAGAGAGACAGAGACAGACAGAGAATATATGTTAGAGATCGAATCCAGGGCCTCATGCATTTTGGTGAACCTTCTGTCACTGAGATGTGCTCAGTTTTTCTAATTGGATTTATTTTTAATGGGGATTTACACTATAGTATAATCTTGAATAGAACTCTCTTTGTAGTCCAGATTTGCCTCAAAACTCTTGGTCAGTTGTCCTACTTCAGCTTGCCAAGTGCTGGATTGCAGAAGTGAGCTATCACACTCAACTTCAGTTATTTATTCCTCCTCCCATATAGTTACCAAATGGACACTGTTGTATTTTCCCATAATTCTATGGAAGAACACTATACTTCCTGGCTATAACTTACATTTGTGTAATTTTTGATGAAGGTTGGTGACACTGAATTTTCAGTTAGTTGCAGTTCTTTGAGTTGAGAAAGCCCTTTCTGAATTTTATCACAGTATTTTACTTTAATCCCTAATTTTTTTTGTACCTTCATTATGTAATTTCATTGTCAGCGAGGTTAATTTCTCCTGTTGTTTTTTAACACAGTTCCCCTCTGTAACCCTCACTTGGCATTGTACAGAGATGTTCCTGCCTCGGCCTCTGAGTGCTGTGACTACAGACAGTGCCACCATTCCAAGCTTTAATTTTTATTAATGCAGGGCTAGTATTGTGCCAAGTATCTTGTAATTGCCAGGCAAGGCTTCAGCTACTATGTTCCCAGCTTTTCAGCAATGACTTTTAACCAACCCATTAGTTTTCATTAAGACTTCTGATAACTGTAAACTTCCCTGCAGCCTGATAGTTATACATAATTTTGCTTTCAGCACTATTACAGTATATGCGGTTATTCTTCTGTTTTTTATCGGTTATTGCATGTTTTATATCAACTCAGTGACTGAACACTGAAAGCATTTGGAAGTAATGCATCTGAACTAGGATTCTTCCTTGTCGTTATTACCTAAGTGATGTGGCATATCAACTCTCTATACGACTTTTACATTTTTGGAGGTTATAACAATTTAAAGATGGCTTAAAGAATATTCAAAGATATGTATAGATTATACACAATTACTAAACAATTTTAAATGGTGCCCTTGTTTGTACATCTACAGATTTTATACCCAGGTATGTAGGAGGTGCTTGAACCAAACACCCAGTAATGCCTGAGGATAGATAGCTATTTATCTTTTCCTATCAATCTGAATTCTATTTTTGTTAAAGATATGAATTTCTAATATTTATGTGGAGATCTAACTCCATCCATATTATCAAGTACACCACTGTAACTAATTTAAATAGAAAAGAAGTGGATCAGAATATAAAATTGTTAATATATCTAGGATTGAAGTATATTTAACTAATGAAGTTTTGATGTAAGTTTTTTTGATCATGGTTATGTTTTTCAGCTTATCAATTCCTCTGACCCCCAAACAGGTGTGATTTTGACATTAATTGACTTAATTTACAAATGACTGCAAACTGACATTTAGAGTAAATTGGGAGTCACAGTAGTATTTATAATAGTGAAGATTTTAGTTTAGAAAAATAATGTGGGCCGGGCGGTGGTGGCGCACGCCTTTAATCCCAGCACTTGGGAGGCAGAGTCAGGCGGATCTCTGTGAGTTCGAGACCAGCCTGGTCTACAAGAGCTAGTTCCAGGACAGGCTCCAAAACCACAGAGAAACCCTGTCTCGAAAAACCAAAAAAAAAAAAAAAAAAAAAAAAAAAAAGAAAAATAATGTGGAATTATATATAAGGCTTTCTATATTTTATAGAGAAGGAAATCCTTCACCATTGTATTTATCATGGGGCCTTTATCTAGGTTTTCAATTTTGTTATGTTTTCAAAAGTTATTAATGTTTTGTATTACAAACTTTAAATATTAACATTGCATTACTGAACTTGTTAGTTTTAGTTATTGTTTGTTGACATCCATTTCTTTTCCAGGTCAATAATAGCTATTCTGTAATACTCAATTCTGACTTTTCTTTTTCAATTATGCATATCTTTTTTGTCTGTGTGCCCATATAGATTCTCAGATCACGAGTGAGCTAATGATGAAAACTAGCTCCCCAAGTCTAGCACTATAGCTGAGTTGGTGAGCTAAAATTTGGTTGTCTTCATAACTATTAGACAACCAGAAGCTGGAAGTGAAAGATAAAATGGTCTAAGAAAATGTCAAGAGTTTTATAATTTGATAAGGGCTTAGAAAGCATATTTTCTGTAAAGATAAATAAAGCACTAAACTCCATTGGACAGAGATGTGCATTCTAATGTAATAATATTTACTATGGTGGAAAAACCTAGTAGAGAGGAAGTGAGACTCCAGGAAGCATGAGATCAAAACATGGAGAGCAATGGGGGGACTGGACAAAAGAAGGCACTCAGGTCCAGAACTTCCACAACATGCTAGTGAGAAGTGAAGCCCAGGAGGTTCTTGCTGTGTCTGCCCCTGTATGGGCACTCTGTCTGTCTGTATTCTTGGTTTACTCCAAAGGAGAAAATTGCAGTTATTCCAGTAATGCATTTAAAGTTTCTCCTGGAGTAGGGAGGCCATGGACACATTGCCTTCATTATTTACCTTTATCCATTCTTCTTTATGTTTTTATTAATATATATTTAAAAAAACTTTTTACTTCCAGGCTTTAAGATTTTGAGGGGAGGCTTGCAGAGCCTTTTTAGACGTAATTTAGATGGTAAATAAATTTTGAATTGAATTGATAATGACAGCTTTTATTCTAGATATTGATTGCACTTTGTAATGGATACATTCCTTTCTTTCAATGCTCCTCAGTGTCCTGAGTGACTTGATAACTACTTTAGTTCCTTTGCAAATAGGCACATTTATTATGGCTCTGTCTGAGGTTCTCACATCGTCTTTTCAATGCCTTCAGTTTGAAAAAGACTGTCAATATCTTATTTGTTTTACAGCCTTTGAGCAATATGTTAATAGCAATTTCTTAGAAAGACCCAATGAAAATTTAATTTAAATCTATATACAAGTAAAATGACAGATAACAGATGAGAGCAGTTTAGAATGGAAATCAATTTCAGAAAGTCTGTGATTAAGATTTAATTATAGCATCGATACACTATCCCCCTGGGGCTAGTATAGTCCATACTGTAGGACAGGCTCAGTTTTGGGATTTGGCAAGATAGCTTCAATGGATTCCTCTATTTTGACCAGGACACAGAGCATTACACTAGTTACTACATTCTGAATAAAAAGTTTGATGAATATTACCAGTCAAATGAAGCAGTCTGTGCCTACTGATTTCTCTTAACGTGTAGAGATTGACAATGTGACTCATACATTTTTAACTTATAAGTTATTTTTATTTGAATTTAGTTATCTCTTTCTAAACATTTTGATTAAATTTAAATATCAAATGATTGTTAGGAGAAATGCATCGTAATGAGGAATACCTTCCTAGGTAAGAGAACTTGCTGAGCAGGCATAACAACCTGAGTTCAAACCCCAGAAATCATATAAAAATCCAAGTCTGGCTTGTAGGCTGCCAACAAACCCAGCTCCAGTCTCAGTGAATAAGGAGAGTGATGCAGCAGAATGTTCACTGTCATCCTCTGGATTCTCTGTGGGCATCACAGATAGACACACCCAAAATATACACCACACTCCTAACACACACATACACTTATGTGAACACACACACAAAATTAACAGAAATAAAGAAGAAACTCCTCATAGCAGTTTTTCGTCGGGATATGTAGTTTAGGGTATGAAGTGGCATCTCTTCTGTGTTATCATTTACTGGTGACCTTCTGCTGCAGGTGTTTAACACGTACTCCAATGAAGATTATGACAGGAGAAATGACGAAGTCGACCCTGTGGCTGCCTCTGCTGAGTATGAGCTTGAGAAGCGAGTGGAAAAGCTGGAACTTTTCCCCGTGGAACTGGAGAAAGGTATGTAGTAAGGCGGGTGCTAGTTTTCCCAAAACTATCACACAGAAACCATATTAATTAAATCACTGCTTGGACCCGTTATCTCTAGCTTCTTATTGGCTAGCTCTTACATATTAACCCATTTCTGTTAATCAGTGTATTGCCACATACCTGTGGCTTACTGGCAAGATTCCATCTGGTGTCTGTCCCTGGTGGCTCCATGGCTTCTCTCTGACCCTGCTCTTCTTTATCCCAGAATTCACTTTAGTTTTCCCTGCCTAAGTTAGTTTTGCCCTGCTATAGGTCCAAAGCAGTTTATTTATTTCACTAATGGTAATCACAGCATACAGAGGGAAATTCCACATTACCTGCCCTTTTCTGTTTAAATAAAAAGGGAGGCTTTAATTTTAACATATAATAAAACAGTTATCAAATAAGAATTCAAGTTACAATATTTATATCTACTTTATCTTTTATCATAACTAAGGATAACTATAACTATCAATTCTTCAACTCCATCAAAGACTACAAAAGGATATATCTAAGTAAACAAAAAGTGCATTGTAAGCACCTTCCAAAACTCTAGAATTGAAAGAGATATCTTGCTGCCTGGACAGTCACTCAAAGTTGTTCTGTACTGTTGGGGCATCCATGATCAGCCTATAGGCTCATAGTATCTAGCATACTTTTCCATGAAGCAACAAATTTCAAAGGCAGTTCTGCCTATATTGGCAGTTTATCATTCACATTTTTCTGTGTCCTGCACAATGTCTAGCAGACTCTTTCATGAAGCAAAAACCCTGAAAGATCGTCTCACCTTTAGGCAAGTTCAGCAGTCATTTCTCTGTGGGTCCTGCATGCCCAATTCATCAAACAGTCCAGGCAAGAGAAGTTTCTTGCCCAAATAGCTAACAAACTCCTTAAGGAGCATCTTCAATGCCCATCTTCCTCTCGAAGTAATTAGTGCTTCCAGGAGCAGACGTATCTCACTGTCATGAAAAGTCCTATGTTCTTAAAACATTTTAAATGTCATATTCTGAAGGTCTCTGAAAGATTTGAAGAATACCTATTTAACTGAAATATATCTCTATATATCTAGAAAACCTAACTAATATGACTACAAGTTTGACTATTATAGATGATTATCTATTAACCTATATTTCTTAGTAATATATTACATTTTCAAATTAGCTGGACAAACACAATACCTTAATCAAGAGCAGAAACATATATTTATGATATATATATATAACAAAAGTAACCTTAAGTTTGTATCAATAAACCCAGATCCATACCAATGCAAATCTGTGTATAGCATATCCCCTTTAAAATGTAAACAAACATTTATAGACAATATTTGGGAATATGGGTATAGTTCTCCAAACTTCTTTCTCCTGTTTATTGGGTGAAGTATTTTTGGGGGTGTATTCACAGCAACATTTCAGGGAGTCTTGTGCATCAAACCATATTAGTCTGGAAGCAATCCACAAGTTTTCATCCTCTGTGAAAACAAAATAAGAACCTCTTTTTCCAAAGCAACATATCCTTAGACCCAAATTCTGAAGTCAAGATACTTTTGTAACATACATGCTGGTTTAGCTTAGCAGCCCATATAATAAATGTCTCTCTGTACTTAGCTCCTTCAAGTTAAAATTCAAAGAAAACACAATAATATATATAACCCAGACTGTCTGTGAATTTTCCATCTTTATGTGGCTATTCTTTCTTTACTCCTTTTTAATCTATGACTGTCTGTACTCTGTCTCTTTAAAGATTTTACTTTTTTTAAAAAGAAAAATTTACTTGTTTTTATAACTGTCTATTTTCTTTTTCTTCTGTCTCCCAAGCCTATGTACACTTATCCAACACTGTGACCCATTAGAGGTCTTTTCCATCTGAATTTGTCTTTATTGCATATCTGTAATTCTTTACTGATCAGTAGTACTTCTTAAAATGCTAAGCACTTCTTATAAACTTAAGCTGCAGCATTACTAGGATATACAGTGCTGCCTGCTTGCTCCGAACAGTCCAACATGGTGGAAGTCTGTTAGTGCCTGAGACTGCCTGGTGGGAGTCATCCCTACCTCCTTGACTCTGACAACCAGTTGTCCCATGCTGCTACCATTTCACTTAACCAATTTGGAATCATCTTGAGGAGCTAGTACCCCAAACAGGTCTTATAGTAGTGGTAGCAGCATCATGATGTCATATCAACCAGGAGGAATTGTTGTTGAAGCATACAGAGGGAAATCCCATATCAAAGGTAGAGCAGGATTCTGGTATTTTCATCTTCCTGTCTCTGAGAGTGACTTGGAATGGCTATTCCAGAATGGAGCCTGTTAATAAGAATTGAATAAAGTTTGTATCTCTCCTCAAATTTTGCCATGTTTCGAAAAGGGCTAATGCAGATTCTAAGTAGATAATTTGTTAAAGGATTCCATTATGTTACCAGCTTCCAAACAACCCCACTCCTTTGTCTGGCACGGATGGTGATTCAAATGGGAGGTATGCCAGCTAGTTTTATATCCACTTGACACAAACTGGGTCACTAGTTAAGAAAATGCCTCAATAAGATGGGCTATAAGCGGGCTTATAAAATATTAATTAATAAGAAAGTGGGAGGGCCTATTCCATTGTGGGTAATGCGATCTCTGGACTGATGGTCTTGGGTTCTATAAGAAAGCAGGCTGAGCAAGCCACAGGTAGCAAGTCAGTCAGTAAGCAGCTATCCTACATGGCCTCTGAATCACCTGCTGCCTCCAGGGTTGTGCCCTGTCCTGATACCTTTGATGATGAACTGTGATGAAGTATAAGGCAAATAAACCCTTTTCTCTCAATGTGGTTTTGGTTGTGGTTCTTTGTTGTAGTAATAATAACCCAAACTAAGACAAATTGGTACCAGGGTCATGGGATCCTATGACAGACCTGACCATTTATTTTTGGGAGGATTGTGGAAGGACTTTGGAATTTTAGATTGGAAAAGCAAGAGTAATCCAGACTAAATGATGATGATGATGATGATGATGATGATGATGATGATGATGATGAGTGTGTGTCCCACTGTTTTGTTGGTATTACCGGGAGGACTGATGAGGTAAGTCTCCACCAAGAGCTGGTCTTGAAGAATATTTTTCTAGTTTCCTGGTTTGTAGTAGAGGCGGTATGCATGCAGAGTAGATCAGAATGTGGTGATGGAATGGGCTCTCTCTCTGGAAGCTTAGGAAGATTTGGAGTAAATATGGTGAGATTCAAGAAGCTTCAAATAGGAAAACTCCAATCGAAGACTGAAAAGGAAAAACAGAAGAGGGAGCAGATGATAGTCCTGATTTTCTCCCTTGGAATGACAGTCTGCATACCACAGAAAGCACTGATACATGGAGCTGAGATGGCCACTGAGGACCTGCACTGTGCCCTGTGGACAGATCTGAGAAGCCTTCAGAAAGGGCAGAGCAACCAAATGACTGGAGAATTAAAAAAAATAAAACAAAGAAATACTCAGGGATAGTAAATAGTCGCTTCAAAAAGATATTCTTAAGCACATTATCAAAAATAAATTCGTTGATTTTTCAATTGAAAACTTTGACTTCAGAAGTTGAGGTGACAAGCATAGCTAATGTTGAGATTCACATTGGAGACCTAGGAGATCCAGTATAAGAAATGTCTGAAAACCTATTTCAAATAATAACAAACACCTAAGAAAACCAAGAATGCTGCATAAACTGTGACAATAGAAGAAAAAAATGGAAACTAGAGGAGATATATAATTCGTAACAGAAGAGAAAAATGGAAACTAGAGGAGATATATAATTCGTAACAGAAGAGCATTCTCTCGAGAAAAGAAAAGAAACCGCCACGTGGATCCCCAGTAAAGTGGAGGAAATCCTAACAGATAAAGCTAAATTAACGATCTTACAGAATACCAGTTTTAAAAAATAATAAGAAAAAGAGTAAAGGTCTTTGAAATGACTGGAGTCGGGTCCTTCCAGCCTGAAAGCTGTCGTGCATTGTACTGTGGTGTGCTTCTCGTGGGGAAAGAAAAGATTTCCCTAGTATCTAAAACTGTAAAGAATACAAGTTATCTTAGAAATTTTCTTACTGTCAATCAAGGAAGCAAAGACACAGCCGACTTGTTCAAGACATTAAAGATGAAGAAATATTAGACATAAGGCTGAAGATACAGTGTTGACTACCCAGCATTTCACTGGACCTGATTCCAGTTGAAGGACACTTTCATTTGGAGTTACAATGAAATGGAGAGTGATTCCTCCATTTTTTTTTTTTTTTGCTATGTTGAAAAAGAATCTTTGTGTCTCATATTTCTGGAAAGAGCCAAACGTGACAAGGACTTACGCATTCACCTGAGGCATGACAATGTTTCTAGTCAGTGACACTGAAGTGCAGTCATGCAGCAGCGTGTGTGATTGTTACGTAAACAGGGAGTCAGAGAAGTCCTTCAGCTATGGTTCCATTGACTTGAATTCAGCCGAGAGAAAATTGAGCATCATATTACATCATCATATTACATAAGGATACACAGGTGATTAATGTGTTTTTTTTTATTGGTTAGTGTTTTTGAGGTAATTATGGATAAAATAATTAGTTTCACTGTCACCAAGAGTAAGGAGCGTTGGAAGGGGTATAATAAGTAGTTTTATGATGTGGCTGTATTCTGTGTATTTGTTAGGGCCAACACTTTTGTTTCGTTTTTGTTGTTGTAGCCCAGGTTGCCCTTGAATTCTATGAAAGCTCCGGCTGGTATTGTTCTTTCAAGGTCTGTGAATTTTTTTTCTGGGGTTTTGATGGGCATTGCATTGAATCTGTAAATTGCTTTTGGTAAGATTGCCATTTTTACTATGTTAATTCTACCTCACCAAGAGCATGGGAAATCGGAAAGTGATATCATTTTTAATGTAAAATACACAGTAAAAGCCTTCCTCAAAATAAAAGTTATATTAGTATGTTTCTTTAAAATTAACATTTAAGAAAAAAACACTTATCTGCGAAGTCTGAAAACGTAAATA